CACTTATATTTTTGTGCGGTTTGTTGCTGCAAGCGAGTGGAATCCTAATTTGCCTATTGTCTTCTATTTCTCAGCTGAAAATACCCAGCCACATCATACCGAATTGACTGACCCGTTGGCGGCGGATCAAAATACTCAAAATTTGTAACACGTATGTTTTCAGAGTTTATCACTGTGTTGGGTTTTGATGGATTGAAATACATATGCACTGTGCACTTTTAGATCATTTTTTTATTTCCTTCGTAAAAGTCTGTAAAGTAAATAAATTCTTGAACACTATCTACTACTGAATACGTTTTGCTAAAACTGCTCCCAAAAGTAATATCAAAATGCTGCTAAGCAATGTTTTATTTCGAGGTGGTTTGTTACTCAAAAGCACCATATACTAAGTCCCCCTTAAAAGTTTTAAAATTAACATTTCTTCTTAAAAAGTTTCATTTTCTTCTGGTTTTTGTAATAGAATCTTATTTTTTATCCCTTTTATGCCTGAGCATATGCATTTTAATTCTTGATACTTTGATATAACACATTTTGTCTTATAGCATGGTCGTCTAACAAACACATATAAAAGGTCATCGATGGTGGTAAATGTGGTGGAGGAAGTTTTAGTATTGGTAATGGTATTTTTGCCGACAATGTCGTTTGTCTTTAACTGTTGAGAAATAGTTTAAACACATTTTGAAGGCCTAATTTATAAAAATCACCATTAGCAGAAACACGCAAACTTATCAGAAACACTCGAATCTTTAAAGCTCATTTTCCTTTCTATAAATCTTTTCGCTAATTTCACTAGTCTAATCTATTTCTCTCAGTTTAACCTGTCTGTTGTCTATTCTACACTGTTTCTTCTATTTCAACGAATTTTTGTTTAAACTTGCTCTAAAATCTGTTTCTTCTTGCAGGTAATTCCGAGTCGTTGCTGATAAACGAAGATCAGCAACCTTCGTAATAGTTCCACAAGCTTTAGTCTATAAGAGGTCGATGTTGACTATTTACCAATGAAATTGTAAGGTGCAAAGTGCCGTTTGATTTGTGTGTCGTGGATTTCAGAAAAAAAATGTTATCCTACGTTGATTATATTTGTATGAAATACTTGAAAGAGCGCAGTTATAAGTAGCTCAGGAGACAAATCAATAGAGTAAGACCCGGATGTAGATGAGTTTTTTGCCATTAAATATTCCCATCTGAATGGAAGACACCATACAATGTTCAACAGTTTATAAGACCTAGAGATAAGTTGCAACAATCATGATTAAGTATGTTTTTGCTGTAGGTGTGGAAAGTTCACTTTTGCGCTCTAGATGCTGAATGAGATAAAGCAACTTTATTTGTCTTAATGATTCGTAGGAGAGAGAGAGCTATCGCTGTTTTCATGCATGCTTAGGATAAGGATTAATAGATTGTTAACTATGGGAGAAATATTTATTGCCTGAAGAACAGAGTACAGAGAGAGTAATATTTCATAAAACATTTTTAAAAAGACTCATTAATTAACTAATTTTGTTAATGCGAAGCTATTATTTATTTTATTTATTTACCCAAGTAATATTGAGAAAATGAACTTTCTTTGATAATGTTAAATTTTAAGTTGAAATAACTACAATACTCTCTGTACAATTATAAATTTGTACATAGAATATTCTTTCCTACTTGCATAGTGAGCAATTATTGGATATTGATATTATTAATTTATTGCAAATGTAATGTTTTAGTTGAAGAAAGTGAAACTTTATTGCATGTTTCAAGTTCACTGGAGTGAGAAGATTTGACTAAGTTTACAAAAAATAGCCAACCTTTTTGGTTTCCAAACATCACGTGCACTATTTGTGGATAATGCTCACTGAAAATGTTCCTGCTGCAAACGAACAATAAAAATGCTATTGAGACCGGCAGATACTTAAAGAACAGATGTTTACATCTAGCGCGTTGTTACATGGAATCGTCCACTATATTTTTATTCCAAGTGATAAATATCTCAAATACCTAACATTAAAAAAAGACGATTAGATCATTAATAAATCGCTTTGTATGTCTGCGTTAAATCATACTATCACCACCATGTTATATAAGTTTCACACTCATCCTTAGCATAGAAGCAAATACCTAGCTTAACAATATTATTACATTAATCTAAGGTTTTTAATTTAAAACGTATGGTGTAGGTGCAGTTGATCGTGAATGCAGAGCATCGATTATAATATAAGTAACAGTACTTATCAGTATTCCTAAAGGAGCGATACGTTGTAGCTTTTATACCCATTAATAACAAACTATGTTCACCAAAATATTCCAATCTTGTCTCTACAGGCTGATGAATTAAATTTATTTAATTGTTACAGGCAAGAGTGGAATAGCTCGTAAAAACGCCTAAATGGCGTACTAATGTGAAGACTGATTTTCCCCTATGAAATTAAAACCCATAATAAGAATATATGGATGAAACTATCGGTTATTATTATTTGATTGTTTTCGTTTTAGGTGTATTTTGCTTTTAAGGTCATCAAATTTGTATGAGTATAATAAAAGAATTGCTAGTAAATGTGAGTTTTTCTTAAACGGCTTTGGAAACTTTGAGAAAACTAGAAAGTTCTTATCAACATACCTAAAAAAAATATTTCTGAAAGGGACAGGAATTGTTTGAAGAAAGAACTCTGAAGATGGTTTTTTTTGCAACGGTGGGTATTAGGAGGATAAAATTTGACATTTGTAATTATGTTTTGGATCCATCCACTCGGGAAAGTCTCACTTCTGTGACTATCGACTGCAAAGAGCGTTATAAATGCTCAATATTTCACATGAAACACGCTGTATATGTAATAGTTTTTGCAGTAACTTGAATGGCGCATTATCTTTATCATTTAACGCGCCAGTTACATAGTTGAAGATTAAAGTTTAGGAAAAATGGGTTTGCGTTCTTCAATCGTCAAGTGTAAAGTATCAGAGATAATTATATACAGGGTGATGTGACAATCTGGTGGAGCATTTTGGTTAGATTAAAAGCTTCAAAACGCAATAATTTGGTATCGAATCTCCGTGTGATTCTGAAATGTTATTTTTTCGTTTAGTTTCACTCGTTTTTCCTGTTTTGGCTCTTTGACATCAGTAACAGAACATCATATGAAAATGTATGTTTAGGGTTCAGCATTATGCGTGTGTTTGCGGTTTTCCTTAAATATATATTTAAATATAATTCTTTTACCTTTTTTGTTTTGTTGGAGGATAGAAATTTCTGAGGCGCACTTTCTTCATAATTCTGATAATGACAGTGACAAGCTAGGACGTTCAGAGATGTTTTGTGCGTTTTGGCATTTAATTGCGCCTTCCTGCTTATAGGCTATCCTTTACTCCTATATCAAATCATATGAGAAAGATAAGGAAAGATTCTGTACTTTTTACTTAGACGTCCTGGTTATGTGAAACCATTACTTCCTTGAACCTAACAAGAACTCGATTTTCATTCATTGTTAACCATTTTTAATTTTATTAAGGAACATCTTTACCAAAACGTATATAAAAAGTGCAAACAAAGCAACGGCATCATGGCAAACGCGCCCCCTAGAATCACAGTAGCGATTCATAGTGACATTCAGATACAATCTCAGACATACAGTGAGCTTTTCCGTTTTTGTTACATACAAGTATTTCTCATCGCGTAGCTGGTGGAGCGGTGTCAGTTACTAATTCACCTTGAATGAAAATAAGCAAATGTCCAGCAGCGAAAAAATTAACAAAAGATTTCTACCTGAAGTTTAATTTGGGGTCAGTGAAATGTTTGTTTTTTACGGAAAAAGGGACAGTTTCAATTCGCAACAAGTCTCGTCTTATGGGCAATACAAGTGCTAGAGAAACTGCGAACAGCGATCAAGTGAACAATAGTGCAAATCGTCGAATCTGTTTGCAGAAGGTAAGTCGAAAATCCAGCACTAACCTTTCCATTTGTTATTATACTGCGTCATTCTAATCTTTCTCAGATTATTTTGGATCCCAACAATAGTTTGAGAAGTTTTCTGAGCGTTGAGAGCGAACAATCAACGTACAGTGTATCGAGGCCCTGGTCAAGAGTATCCAGAAGACGGTGAGTCAAATTTCTGCACATAACATGTCGATACTTGTTTATAAATTATTGTTCGGGCAAACGTGACGTTCTTCGCACATTTCATTAGAGCGGAAATTTGCACATGCTTTCAGCAGATGATTTGCTTTTGATCAGATCAACAGCTCTTCAAATGCTTTTTGGGATTCTCTATGTAAACACCTTTATTTATATGGGGTGAAGTCGAATGGGGGGACCAAACAGTTCAGGTTTTCCATCAAGCAAAAATCAGGAAAGGCTGTGTGGATATCTTCCAAGTATTGTCACTTTGTCTTTCATAACATTAACTATGTTTTTCCAGCAAATGTTGCTGTTGTTTCTTCTGCCTGTTCTTTATTCGCTTTGTCTTCGCTAGTCTTTAAATATGCTCATCCGAAACCCTGATAAATAAAGCCATTGATTTGGAAACTGCAATCAGAAAAGACCCAGGGAGAGTTTCTGGTCGTTTTCTAGTTTATCAGGCTCTTGGTTTCTTAGTTAAAAAATGTTCCGCTTATATTGGATCCCTTTATTGACCACTATGCTTTAGTGGTTTTTCTGGCCGAAATGCGGCTTTTGATCACTTTTCACTTATTGCAATTCACTACTTTTCCTTAAGATAACGAAGGACGCCACGCAGTTCGAAAAATATCGCGCATTTTCAAAATCTATTTCTTCTTTGCCTTTGAGCTTTTCTGATTATATCATTGTGTGAAAAAGAGTGAATAATCGCAGTTCTACAAGAAACACCACTAAGGAAAGTCGTTAGTAAAGAAATTAACTTACCGTTAGCTTAAATTGCCCAAAGGTGGTATGGTTTTTCAAATACATGCGTTAAAGTTATGACTAAAAACTCTAAAAAACTCATTATTTCGGTAATAATATTTTTTAAGGGAAAGCAGTGCAAATTCTCTTTAAAAGGGCATTTTCCTTCAGATGTAACAGTTATTGATGCTTAAAGTTGTTTTTACAGTGTTAACAAACTCGCGCACGTTTCTGCTTCAATTTTTAACGCGTTAAAACTGTCCCATATGAGATTATGTTCAGATAGTAACAATAAAAGCAAAATAATAATTTTTCCATTGGTTTATTTTGTTTGACTAATTTCCTATTTCAAAAACCGTCTGTTTTTGGTTACACAAACTAAATCATTATCATGTTTTTACCCCAGAAACCTGTGGCAGTATTTTTTACAAACACTTCGGAATTTTGGTTTCAAATGTGTTTTTTAACTCTTCTTTGCAGTGTAGCAAGATATTCCTGTGACGTTTTTGAAATTGGCATTGGCAAATTTGAATTGGCAGCAGCTTTTTGTGTTGAAATTCCTCCATTATTTAAATTTATCTGCAGTGTTATATTATTTCTTTTGTCTGTTCTCTTTGTGTTGTTGCTTATCGCTATTCACTTGAAATGAGATAAAAAATACCTCATAGAATTCACTGTGAGGTAGAAAGCAAGTGCTTCTTTTTCGAGTTATTTTATAATCAAAATATGTATCTTTGCTGCCCAAAAATGCCATTCTATTAACTTGAACTGATATCTTAAATATCGGAAGAGTAATGGGAATCATTTTGATAAAGCTTTGAAAGCTATTCTGTACCTTTGTGGAGTTGTAGCAAAAATCTCACCACACAAGGGACAGGCTGAAATTTTCAAGAAATTAGGGACTTATTTATTAACTAGAAATCATTGAAACTTCATAAGTAATCATTATGATCTGTTTGCTCAACAGAAATTCATTGCCTCTAACGAATAGATGCAAAACTTGAGAACCACTGTTTTTTGAAGAAACATAATTTTTGCATAGACAAACATCCTTATTATCTTTATTCATTCGTGTCTTTTTTCAAAAACACCAATTTTTTAAAAACTTGGAATTTGATGTCTTTATTGATAAGACGAGAAAAGTGTTTGTTTTTCCTGTACTATTAATTCCTGATCAAGTTTTGACAACAATTTACCTGATTTCTTTACAGTACAAGGTAAACCGTCTTTTAACACCTTTTGTTTTGATGGAAGATCGTGGGTTTTTGCTCTTAGCTTAGCGAAAATATTTTTGCGAATCAAAATTCATCTTCTAAGAGTGTCACTCACTTGGCAAACCGCTGTTCTTGATGCTCTCTAATTTTTTTCTGGTGGTACAGCTCGAAGCCATCAGCAACTTTTCCATTGCAAGACATATTTTCATCTTATAAGGAACTATTTACATTTTTATGATAGAATTAGGTTCAATACGTAGATTCTAGATCAACAAACCATCGTTTGAAACTGTTTGATTAGGAAAATGTGGTCTTACAATTAGAGTAAAGTGCAAAGAGTTCACACTCCATCGAGCATGAACTACATAATTATCGCTGCCAACTAATAGCGGCAAATCTTGGATTCTATTAGGTCAGGTAATGATGAATGGAGAAACTTAGATAGTTTTAACCAATTTATATGATTGGGTGTTTTAATGGAACTGGGTTGGTTATGTTAGAACGACTAACTCAAACTATCCACTTGATATAACATTTTTTCGTTTTATGTACATCATTACTTGCTAAATTAATTTTCAGCCTTTTTTGGAGAGTATTTGAACGTTATCTACAATTCAACGCAGATAATCTCTACAATTAAGGTCATGTTATGTCTCGGATTTTTAGCAAGTGGGAATTAGGCACTTTTATTCAACAAATTTATAGCTGGGGACTCTGTTATCTGACTGATGTATTCGATAGTGTAGTTCTGTTCGCAATAATGTCTCGAAAATTGAATATCTTGAATTCCATTCAGAGCAAGTTATCTGTAGCTTTTCTATACTTACACACATCCTTGGAGTGTCTATTTTCGGCCTGATTTTGCAAAGTGACCTATATTAGCAATCAGCATCCAGTATATATTGCGGGTAAATGCCAAGTTAAAATAATTCCGGCGCCAGAAGATTGATCAGATCAGAAAATATTATTAGGCAAGAGAGTTCAGCTCTAATTCAATAAGTAACCACATATGATTTACTGATAATCGGAAATGTACCTGGTCTTTGAACTTGACATTGATCTATCTTAATAAGTTATCTGTTGGCAATGTAGTTTCTCTAATCGTTAGTTAATATCCTTCGGATTTGTTGAAATGTTATCATTGGGGGCACAAACATACGCTCGCTTCTTAGTTTAACAATGCTACGTGATCATTCAGCGGTATTTCTGATCGACTTTGCTTTAATTGGAGTGTATTTTCCAAGCTTTCCCTTAAGTAGAAACGTGTGTTAACACCATTATCAATATTAAGCGCATTTAATATTTGAAATTGCTTGATAACCTATGATGTAGACCGAAAAGCGTACTTTCAAAATTTATTCCAAGGCCAATCGGCGATGATGACTAAATTTACTTTGGTGATTCCATTTGTTTCATTAATTGCTGGCCACGAATGTAGACATTTATACGGAAATAATTTCAATTTTTCGTGAACGAATCGGAACGTGGTATTTGGTGGAATTTGATTTTTGCTAAGCTGGTTTAGTGTTGATTTTCTTGCACCTCCTTAAAAGGCGCAACGGTTTATAAAAAAATTGCCGCCAATAATGGTTGATTTGTTGTGCGCGCCCCTGGCTTGGGTTCTGTTACTCTCTCTCTTTAAGGGTGGGACTAAGCTGGCACTGGTGTAAATTTGGAAAAGGGTCTTTTACCTGCCTTTTCTGTTGGCTGTTAGCTCTGGTTGTTAGTCCGAATCTGTTAGTTCAAGCGTCCGAATCTTCTTATCTAAGCAAGCTTAGAGTAAGTAATTTATTTTTAATGGTAATCTTTTTGGTATAAATGTTAAGTTCTATAAAGAATATTCATTGAATTTTAGAAGAATTGAGGGCGCTTTGGGCATTGTTGGTAGGCGGTTTAAACTTTTTTGGAATCTCACGAAAACTTATTATGGGAAAGCGAATCAAACTTATTTTTTCTAAAGGTACACGAGAGAAAATTAATTGGGAAATCACTTTTAAAAACCTAACCAGCAGATGTGCGCTTCACTGATTACCATTATTACCAGATGTATTGTATTCCATACACAGAACGCTCATGTGCGCCAAATGGCGAAATGGCGAGCCGCCTTGGTTGTGATAACAGTTCAGTTTTGGCTTTGAACATTTCTTGTTTCTTTTGCAAAAACACATTTTCTTAAATCGTTTATGAGCAGATTTTTTAATTCGCGCCGTGAACAAGAAAACTCTGGCATTCTCCCACTAAAAAGTATTCGGGTTCTTCTCTGATGTTAAAAACAAAGGTCTGACATAAACAACCAAGTATTTACCATCTACACTGAGCCGTGTGTTATTTGGTATTTGCGCTGGTAAAATAGACACAATTCCGCTATGTTGTTGCATTTTATTTGCTTTATCAGTTTCTTTGTTGGAGCTGGAAAATAGATTATCCCGCAATCGAAATAGCGTTCTCCGCAGTTTCTTTACCTTTGCAACGCAAAAGTGTGCCATGACATTACATTAATTTGTAACTAATTTACCTTTGTGTGCGTGTCTATGGAAAATGCATTCGGATTAATACATTGTTCCGACTAGCTGTTATTGTTTTATTATCATAAAGTATACCTGGAAGGTTTCTTCGATTCGCTAGATAAGTGTAACTCATTTAAAGCCAACTAATTCCATGCGATCTGAATGCTTGGCGTAGAGCAGATGAAGAATGGCTTTGCGAAGAAAGCTTGTATTTCACATTATTTTATTTCCGTTCAACATTAAATTATTAACTAAACGCTAAAAAGTACCACTCGCTTAGTATCAATTACTCAGGACCTAAGAAGTAAAATCTGCAATTATTATAAAAGCGGTGTCAATTGAGGCTGTTAATGAATGAGGCCTGGGGAAACTTTTATTTAGTCTGAAGTCACGATTTGTTTGTTTAGTTGAAGAAATTCAGCTGCAGGTACGAGTGCATCTCAAGGCAAGTGCATCCAGTCTCTCAGTTCAGCGGATTATTAACATTGCTTTAGTTAATGGTGTTTTTATCAAAAAAACGCTTTCGCCAATTTGACTGCACTTTTTATATGTTAACTGTTCTGCTACATTTATGCAGCGTACAATGTGTGTACCATAATTGGTTCCATATTTCAATACCTGATGTTGGTCTTAAGCTTGTTCCAACATTAAGAACATCGCGGGAGTTTCCATTAGAACTTTTGCCTTTTTAAAAATTTACAACTGACATCTGTAAGGCTAATGCTGTGTGTTTCTTAGGTGGAGAGAATCGACTTTAACCCTCCCACATCAAGCCTGTAAGACTGCCTGGCCGGTGTCGCAATTGGAAACATTTTTTCTGCCATCTTTCCCAGTAGAAACTTTCCACAAGGACAATAACTTCACGAAACTCCCACAAATAAGCAAGGGAGCTTTTGGAAACATCTACCAGATATTGGATTTGGAAAAGAACGAAATATTTGCTTTAAAAGTTCTTTCCAAATCAAAGGTAAGAATTCGTGAAAAACTGCTTTTCCTACCTATATGATTCTTTAAGAAAACGTTTAAATCGCTTTATAAGACCTTCACATTTTGTCGCTTATTGCACAACATCCACCCACAAGAGTATTCGCAATAAAGTCTTATTAAACGGCGGCGTTTTTTGGAATTCCTCCGCCAATCCTCAACAAGTTCTTCATTTGATTAAAGCGTCGCAATTCTTTCAGCTGGAAAACAGACAACACACAATAGCGATATTTGGATTTCAATTAAAGTTGCAAAAGTTTGAATTGAAGAGTTTTTATTCTGTGATTGTAAATTAATTAAGTGGTTTGTCTCAATTTCAGATAATAGAAAGTAACTTAATTAAGCAAGTCATTGAAGAAGTACAAATTCATCGTGCTTGCGGCCATCATCCGTTCATAGTAAGGTGCTCCTCCAATTGGCAGAGCCGAAAACATTTGTACATAGGTAAGGTACCTATTTATCTGGTCTAGCTGATCTCCCAATGTACTGGTCTCATTATTATTCGAAGCAAACGTATTGAGAATGTCGTAGTTTATACAGTTAAGCTAAAGCATGTTTGTGATTTGAATTTATAATAACTTTTATTATGAATCTATTGTTATAATCATTTTTGGCTAACGTGCCCATAATTTTCCGATTAGTTTGGACTAATTATATTCATTTTATTTTCCCTTAATTATATTTATTTCATTTTTTGCAAGCCACTCGTTCTTGAAAACTGGGATAACATAGTTTCTCATAATGTACGCTTTTTGTCGTATTTCATTCAATTTGAGCGTGAACGCGCAAGTTGAACTACGTTTTTGGCAATGTTCCTATTTTCTGGTTTATTCTCTTTTCATTTTTGAAACTGAATACTGAAACACCTTTTCAGTAACAGATTGCTTAGCAAATAAGCAATGAATCCATGCAAACAAATCGAGCGAATTAATTTCTCAGATGAACTAAGCATTTATTCTTTTTCAGCCACCGAATTCATAGAGGGTGGTGAACTGTGGGGCTTGCTTGACAAATTTGGTGCTCTAGCTTTAGAAGTTGTTCAATTGTATGTTGCACAGATAGCACTAGCACTAGGTGAGTAGTTGAACTGAAATGCGTCGTTTAAGGTGTAAGGTGAATTTTTATTTCAGATTTCCTTCATAACGCTGGAGTGATATATCGCGACCTAAAGCCGGACAACATCTTGCTTGATTCTGATGCGAATATCAAATTGACAGATTTCGGACTCTCCAAGTGGTTACCGTATGGTCAAACAACCAGAACTGTATGCGGAACGCCCAAATACATGGGTATGACCTACTAATCTTCCTTCCATGCTGTTTTAGATAGTACGCTATGACTTCCTCGTAACCCCCGCAAATTCGCAAATTGTTTTATTTTTCTAATATAGCTGACGCGTCCGAGCTAGTAATTAACGTCGTAAATAGTGAGAGTAAAACCAAAAAATAAAAAAGAAATTTCTGAATTTTTTACTACTCAGGATTATCTGTGATTATCGTGTGATATACGCTATTTTGCCGCTTGTTTTTTAAACATCGCTTGTTGTATTGCAATTATTTTGTAACATGAATGCCCGATCTCAATTGTTCGAACTCACCGTGGAAGGTAGACAGGCGGACGAAGCCGTCGCAAGCATAATTCACACTGTCCTCTTTCATAGAAGTTTAGGTAAATTCACTTACAGTAACGAAACCAGCTATTCAGTTAGTACAGTAGGTTTTACGGATGTTGACTGTGACTTTATTGATTTGACCTACGTGTGCTGCTCCTCAAACGACCTGAATCGTCACGTTAAGCAGGAGATTAGCAACTTTTCGGAGCAGCTTAGAAGCAACGAATCGAGTGGCACCGGCCAAATATCCTTGGAATTTTTCCAAAAGAAACCGGGCCGCTACCTGTTATTCCCACCCGAATGCATACCTTGGGAGGTGTGGACTGTCCGGTTACAGCTCATAACTCTGGAAAATGAAGGTGAAAGGCGCGTATGCAGGGAAAAAGTAGCCGACCATCTAACAGATAAAATCCTGTACATAACCGAAGTTATGAACAGACAAGACTATTTGCCGAAAATGCCGTCTCGAAGTGAAGTCGATCTGGTTTTCGACACGTCTTATCCAGACGTCCAACCCTTCCTGTTCAAAATGAACTACTCGATTTCTGGACCATCAAGCGGCGGCTCATCTGTAGGATCGACAATGAGAAAATTCCTTAGAGAAAGCCTCAATTTGTAAAAGCCTTTGCGACAAATGTTCACTGTTCGTTTTAATCAAATTTATTCATAGTTTTGCCCTGGCAATCGGCAAATTGCAACATGCGTAGTTTCTTTTCCCCCAATATTTTGCCTCTGTATGTACCTCTGTTAAAAAATAAAGACTAGTAGCTCACACCAGCAAGGCATATTCTTTCCACTGGACTGCACAAAACAGGCGCTGGTTCTGTAGTCCATGTATTTGTGAACCAGCCTGATCGCATAATTTCAGTGTTCGCCATAATTTGAAAATTCGTTCAGATCCTCACCCAAGGATCCCGTATAATTCACAATATCGACGTTATAGTGTTTTGGGCAAGGGGGTTTTTTTCATTCAATTTGAACAGATCCTGCCTGAAATATACGATCTAACCAGTTCAAGAACGTTGTGATGATGTAAAATTCCTTTTCTTAAGCAGCAAATTGGTGGCTTTAACCTTTCAGTTGTTAACATATTTTTTATGTTTGATGCTGTTTTTCGCCTGAATTCTATAAAACATGATACATTTTGCGTTCTGGTAAATGGCTATATTTTTTTAATGGAAAATGTTCGCTGACAAGAAGTTTTATCTTATCTAACATAAGAATGTGAGTCCATTTTTTAACTTTTCCATGCCTTGGAAACCCAAGGGCAAAACATTTAGAGAGACCCTGTTTGCTTTTTTGACAGATAGTTTTTCTTTCGATGGGAATTTAAGTTTTCTAAAATCGTGCAGTAGATTATATTGTCGTTTAAATGTGTTTTTATCATTGCGTTTAGTGCTGTATTTAGAGTTAAACCTAGATAGTGTAGGATTTAGTTATGACTGGTCAAAAGCCGAAATCGTTCTGGGACTATGTGTGAAGTGGAAAGTTATATTATTTGAATTTTTCATTCCTAAAACTGACGAGTAAATGCCTATTGAACACTAGATTAGTAACTACTTTAGGAGTATAACGCGCACGTTATTTTTTTAACTCTAGTTTTAAGTTGTAGATTTCTTAGTGACTAACAGTGTGTTTTTCTCGTCTCAAATTTATTTATTTCCTAGAATTTCTCACATCACCTAACTGACACTGTTCATTTTCTAGTTGAATCACGGACTTGTATGAATTATGCTATTTGCGTGCGTAAAATGAACACATTTTTGAAATTTAAGTCAATCTTTATTAGATTATAGGGCATTCTGGTTATGAAATATGCGGGTGTACAAGCAAAAACCCGCGAAAAAATGTGCTTCTTACAGGCAGCAAACTATGTTTAGTTCGTTTTAACTAAAGTAGAAGTTACTGAACGCAATATCAATGTTATAAAATAAAGGGTGCATTTCATTTCTATAGAATGTGTTGATCGAGTTTCTAATTGATAGGTTTGTGTTCATGCAACGATAAATAAAACTTTCTTAAAGCTGCAATTTGTTAACTACGGTAATGGTTGATTTATAGTGCAATATTGCCCTGTTAACACTGAAAGTATCTTATTGAGCCATATTTATTTGGTAGAATTTATGCAGGGATTTAAAACGGTGCAGTATTGCCAACAGGACAGTGTTTGTCTTGTTTGGGCTTCAGTATCCGCATCCCTTCAACTGCTTAGACGACTCCAAATAATTGCAATTATCGCTAATTTTTTGTGATAAAGTTCAATCAAGATTAGACTATTCAAAATTAAATGCTTAAACTTTATCTTGTTTAATCACCAATTATGCTTTTAAAATTATATTTAAAACCGCCGTGATTTTTAACACTTTCAGCTTCGTAAACATTTGCTTATGTATTCGAAAATTCATATTTGGAGTTACCCTTATTTATTATTACACCGTCAAGTTCAAACTTATCAGAAACGTTAGTGATGTAATTTGTTCATATTTTTTACAAACTAGGTGTAAAGATATAATTGCTATATGATAAATTAAATAACGATATATATATAAGATCCAAGAAATGGCGCATATAGGATGATGTAAATAGTAAATACGTCTTGTGTAAATATATTTGTTGTAAATATTTTTGTGAATAGTTTTAGTGATTCATTAAATAGTTATGTGATTTTTATAATAAAAAACGAGAATAAATAAATTACGAATTAATATCGATTTATTTCCTTTGAGTAGATCAAGTAAAACATTAGCTATTCGTAATAGAGTGAATGTGCGGCGATTTTCAGTGATTTAAAATTACAGGTAAGTTGTTTTTGTTTCAGCACCCGAAGTATTGCGGATGGAACCGTACGGACACTCAGCAGACTGGTGGAGCCTGGGAATCAATGCGTGCCTTATGCTGACATCAAAGGTAAATTTTTAATTTAATCTAAGTTAAAAATATTAAGAGAAAATTGTACAAACCTACGGTCGCTTTTTTTTAGCTTTTTTTTTGTTTAATATTATTTTCTCTTTATATTATTTCAATTTTCCATTTGGTTGTCTTTCGCATTTTGGCACCAGGGCTCCAAGGAAGGAATGAGGTTTTTCACCAAAAAAATTAAATGAATTTGTCCGGATATAATTAATTTCAGTAGGTCCATTATTAAATAAAATGTCCTTGCATTTTGCGCAAAATATACAAATAAATAATCTTAATCTCCCATTAAGAAGACTAAAGAAAATTGGAGAAATTTCAACTCGATCTAACTAAAGCAAAATTATTCACAACTGTAATAAATTCTGCCCCATTAGGGAATTGAAAAAAAGTTAATGTGACACAACTATTTGTGGCGCTGTTGGATTTTTAGAACTGAAAACTGTACTTTACGTTAAAACAGTAAACTTTAATAATATTCAATTTAAGGAATTTGAAATTGTACAACTTTACGGAACCGTTTAGTCACAGTCTTTATTTATAGCTATTGGCGTTCGGTGGCCATTAAGCAAATTTGTTAGGCCATTAAAAAATAATTAAATAAATATTAAATAAGCTCGAACATCATGCGGTAGATACATACAAGCTCTATCTGGCTTAAGATCAAGAAGAGTCAGCGTCCTTTGGAATGCTGCAAGGTTAGTCCCATCCTGCTGTTACTGGCCAGTGGTGGCGAAAATCGAAGATTCTCAACAACCTTTACTTAAACTCAGAAGGTATTTTAATAGAATCAATTAGAACGCGAACGGAAATGAAAAATTTGAGAACCTGCGAAGAGCGGATAATGCGCGAAACGCCACTTGCTTCTTCCCCGAGCGCTATTTAAACCAATCTCTTGGATTATTGGATCTCTTATTTTTCAAGATGTTTTACGCTTCTTTTGGAAAGTGTTTTCTTGGTGTTGTTGAAGACAAATTTCTTCAAAGAAAAAATAATTTTAATCCAAAAAATCCACTTTACATCTTCAGTAGATAAAGCCTTTGGCTGGCTGAATTTTCGTGGATAAACCTTCACATCTACTGCACTGTTTCTATACCTTGGAAAAAATCTGCATCAGATTCGAACAGCGGTATCTTAGGTACACGATGCGCAGTCTTCAATAGGGCCATTTTAAGAGCCGCATGCGGATTTTTTGCGATTTTTATTTGCACACAGAGTAGAACTTGAGTCTTTTGAAATATCCATTAGACTTTTATGGTTGTGAAGTAGAAGCCATGTATTAGTTTCCAGATTTTAAGAAAAGAGGGAATTTAGAAAAGCTATATCAAGTTAAAATTTGTGTTAAAAGTAAAACGCAAAACTTAGTTTTTTCTTGGAGCTGCAAGCTTTTACAACAAAATGTACAGTAAATATGGATTATTTTGGATCTGGAGCTTGTGACGTTTTTCTCAATGAGCTCTTTGCATTCCTCGCTTTCTTCTGATGAAAATGATGTTAAATTTGAGTCATTTTGAGTTTAAAATTTAGGTTGGATTTATTAAGAAAATTTCGGACAAAAATTTAAAATTCTACATGCGTGTTTTTTAAACTCATTGGATTTTTCCCGACTTAAGAAGCTTCCCAATATGCATACATTTGAGTGTATTATAAGGAATAT